AAGGCACAGGACTCACACAGGAAAGTGAGTTCAGGAAGTTAAGTGGGAGGAGATGATGAGACAGTGACACTGAAAACCTAGCCTGCAACACGAAAGTACTTACATAGGTTTTAGAGATGGTGCAGAATCCCCAGTAGGTGGTCCCCACCCCGAGACTTCATCCTCTCAGAGCGCAGCAGCACAGACAGCATCTCTGACCTAAAAGCTCTCCTCCAACCTCAGGAGGGTGAAGGGCCTGTGCCCAGAGCCCAGGGCAGGCCTAATGTGCCAGAGAGAGTCTACACCCCTGGAAGCAGCCCTCAACCAGTGACTGCTGGGAGTATAAATAAATACCTCATGGACATGCAAGCACCCCAGCATCCTCCCCTGTGGGTGGGATAATGCTTAGAGTGTGTTTCATGCCATGTTTATAGTTTCCGCATGAGATTCCAATCCAGCCACCCACAATGGTCGCTGGCTTCATAAACAAGCTCCTTACCTGGCTGCCTTCCCCCTCTGTCTCTCTTCCTCAGGAGTATCCCCTTCACCGCTTAAATCAACTCCCTGCCTTTGAGTTCCTGTCTCAAGCTTTGCTTCTGGGGTGAGCCAGAGGAAAACGTTTTAAGCCACAGAATCTCTTCTTCAAATAGCATCTGTGCTTTAATATGTGATAATGTATAAAATTAGAAGTACCCTGATTTAGAGGAATTCTTTTTACTGGGGAGGCTGATCTTTGGAGGCCAGAGCCCTGCCTCTGTGGTCCACCTTCCCTTCTGCCCGCCTCCCCCAGAACTCACTGAAGATGCCTCATACGCTCTCCTGTGGCTCTGCAGGGCATACTTGTCAGCTACGGGGAGGTTGACAAGGAAAGGATAGAAGATGTAAAGAAGAAAACATGCTGAATGAATAAAAATAAGCAAGCACGTAGAGGAAAATATATTCCTTCAAAGGTATGAAAAGTACAGACAATCGTTTTTGTAAGGCATTCTATAAAAAAAACAAAAACCCGAAGGTTTGGGCGATTCCTGCACATTGTGTTGTTAGTAGCATTGTTAGTATCACATTTAGAAAAGCAGTTGTTTTGTAGAGTGGAGGCTGAGAGCCACTGTGGGCGACACATAATAGGGCACAGAAGAGACGAGTCCTCAGCTTGGGAACAAAATTGCTTTTTGAAGATATAACAAGTAAAACCAATACAGAAAAAAAATCTCTAGTTAGCTGCGGCTTGTTAACCCGTTCAATGGCTCAAGGGAAGAGACGAGTGAAAAGTACCCACAGATACTCAAGGGGAAAATGTGTGAAACTGAAGAAAACCGTACAGTGGACACATAATTTATTATCCAAATCTGGACATGTTTGAGCAGGAAAAGTGTTGCTAATAATTATTATGCCAGGACAACAGGTGTAAACTGGGATTTTCCAGGCAGTCAGGATATATGCTGTCCCTTCTTCTAACCTAATTAACAGAACTGCAACTGCAATGCTAAAAAGAAAACACCTATCTTAGGCTTTAGTGGTAGGCCGGGGAGGAGAACACCTTTTATCCCAGCTTTCTACGAACTTGACAGTGCATCAGAATTACCTGGGAGGTGTATAAAAATACAGATTCCTGACCTCAACCCCAAAGTTTCAGTGGTTTCAGGGCTGAATCCTGAAAATATACACTTCTAGCTCCCAGGCAGTGCTGATGCTGCTGACTCACAGTTGCTCCAGGAATAGGGCTCCACTGGGCCTCAACCCTGGCTGTACATCAGAATCACCTGCGATCTTTTAAAGAATACTGATGAGCGGTCCTCATTCCCTGGCTAATTCAATCAGTCTCTGAGGGCAGAGCCTTAGAACGTACATTTGTAAGTGTCACTGGTGATGTGATGCACAGTGAGGCTGAGGAGCCTACAGGGAGCCCCAGAAACGGGAATGCATCTTAGGTCTCAGAAACTCCTTAGGGGCAGAGCTTTGAAGAAGTGAGGGCTCTGGTCCCTTGGTAAGTGACATCCTTAGCTCCAGAAAACCTGTCTAGATGGTGGCTAGGGCTGAACAGTTGGAGCAGCTCTGCTTCCCTTTGTATCATATCCTAGACTTCCAGAAAGGTTTTGCTTAAGCAAAGGCATTTTTTTTTAGTAAGTCATATATACATAGATCATGAACACATTTATGCCTTTGTGGGATTCAATGTGTTGATTATTTGTATAAATGGGAGTGCTTACATCCTACTAATTTACATATCTTTCACCTCATTTACTTAATCACAGTGTTAAGACATTTGTGTTCAATATTTGATAGATTTGGCTTGTACCCTGGCAATATGCTCCATAGGTGTGGTCCCACCATTAACCTTCCCTCTATAGAACCACCCCCCTCCCTTCCCAAACCTCTCCCCTTGCCTCCTTCATCCTGGGCTATAGTTGTGATTCATCTATTATGTGAAAGTGTGAGTGATTATAAATTGATTTCATAGTAGTACTGAGTACACTGGATGTTTTTCTTTCCATTCCTGAGACACTTTACTAAGAAGAATATTTTCCAGCTCCATCCATGTAAACATAAAAGAGGCAAAGTCTCCATCATTTTTTAATACTGCATAGTATTCCATGGTATACATATACCATAATTTATTAACCCATTCATGTGTTGATGGGCACTTGGGCTTCTTCCAAGACTTGGCAATTATGAATTGAGCTGCAATGAACAAACT